AGGTTGACTTTAACCTGGCACTGTTGATTATTAAAATCATAAATGGCATAGACCCTGGCTATACTCAAGGGCTCCTCCATGAGTTTTACCACATAGGAATCACATCTCAAGTGGGCAGGTGATTGTAGCTTTGTGGCCCCTTGGATGGGGATCCAGTGGCCCCTGACAATCATTTTAGATAATTTCTTTATGCTTCTATTAAATACCTTAAGACTTTTGCCTAAGGCCTCTGGGACTTTTTTTTTATCATTATTTGCCCTATATGTAATACCTTAACATCCCTTTCTCCTTGTATTGAATTTCTCATTTGTTTTTACTGGTTTGAATTTCAAGTAGAGGTTTTCTTTTTGTGATACTTTATTTTTTTGCTTTATAGCACAATGGTGGGAGGTGGCTTATATAAATGTGTTTCAACATGTTGGAGAATGGATGTACACAAGTGTTTAAAAACTTTGATTTCATTAACAACACCAGTATCTAAATTCCATAGATCAGAATCCCAAAAAGCTCTGTAGCAAACGATACCGAAAAGTATACTGCTTTCAGTATTGTTTAGGAAGAAACTTACTCTTACCCTCATCCTCTTTCTCCTTTCCCACCCTTCAGTATTCTCTCCTATTTTTACTTCTTGCAGCTTATCTTTAATTAGAATAATTATATCATGGGGTACGGATCTTTTTTACTGTTCACAGCAGGATAGCGTATCAATCAGGAATTAGCCTTAGTGTGTTACTATAATATAGCTAATGTTTAGACATTGAGATACTATATTAGGATTATATCACAATCTGATTTGCTAATGACTAGCATTAAAGATCAGTTTTACAACTTTTAAGTAAAATGATATATTGTGTGAGCTACTTGTAGGGGCATTTGTGGAGTGGGTGGTACCTTGCATTTCTTATAAACATTTATAAACCTCTTGGCATTGTACTGAAGTTTATTGCTGCCTCCTTGCACCCTAAATTAGTGTTTGTTTTTTTCAGGTAGCACAAAGGGAAAAGATAGATTTATCTGCTGTCATTTCTAACAACGTCTCACATTCTTGTTCAGTTTCCTTTAATTTCTGGACAATAGCCCATATCTAACTGAAGCTCTTTTTATCCATTTAATCCATCCCTCTAGTATTCTAGATAGCCATTTCTGATCTTTGATACTTGATATGTGGAGTAAAAAATCCCTGAAGTGGCCTTTCTAGCTTGAGAAACAATTAAGGTTGATGTCAGTTTGTCACTCCCTCTCATTTTCACTAGCTTTCTTGCTTTATCTCTCTTGCATTTGGCTGTGCTAGAAATAATTATTTTTAACTCCTCCACTTTGAGAATATTGAGCCCTTGCTGTAGAGGTTTGTAGCAGTTTATTGTAGGCTTCTACATAGCTGAAGCTGCAGGTGAAGGCTAATCCTGATAATTAAGGAAGTTCTACTTAATTATTTCAGTTACTCTGCTGAAAATGAATGTAGGAAATGTCACCGTTTCTAGCAGCTTTGTTATCCAAAAGTCTGCAAGTCAAAAACACTGGCATTGTTCAAGGCCATATTAACAGAGAAAATTTTATCTGTAGCTTACAACAGCTTGCACAAGAAGTGTACTTTGCCCCAAAGCTCTTTGTACTATTAAAGTACCATAGTAGGCTGTGAGCAGGGACTTGGGTGGAGTGGTCATATGAGGGAAGGAAGGTGCAAAGGGGGTGTGTGTGTGGGTGTGTGTGTGGGTGTGTGTGGAAAAGAGTGTCTTTGAACCCTGTGCAACAGCAAGTCTGCTTCCATGCCATTATTTATGATAGCACCTGCATGTGTTGTGCACTTTCCAAACACTCCTGTAATGAGAAGCTTAAAATTTTTATATATGGTATTGTTTGAGTCACTGTAGGCAACATGTGAGGAGTCTTTCAGCGACACTTAAATGTGACAATGTACCGCTTTGAGGATGAGCTTGGGAATATCATATCATGCATAGAAGGCCATGTGGAAGAATCCACAGGGTTGATTTATGTGAGAAGCTGGCAAACTGTCAGAAGAGACTTGGAGACTTGGTGGAGCAAAGGGGACAGGGGCAACATGAAGCTTGTTAAGAGAGAGTAAGTAGGGAGAGACAGAGCTGTGTAAGTGGTGACAAGAAGCTTAAAGGTGATGCAGTAGCAAATGGGGAGCCAGCGGGAGGATTCAGAGCGGGAAGTTATGATCAAATCAATAGCCAAGCAATGTAAGTTTAGCCAGCAGCGCTCACCGTGTGTTTGAGAGAGAGAGCGTTCACCATGTGTGTGAGATTGCTCACTGTGTGTATGTGTGTGTGAGAGAGAGAGAGAATGCTCACCGTGTGTTTTTGGGTGGCTGGAGAAGAGAGGCCTCTGGGACTTGGAGTAATAAGATCTGAATGAGATATTTGACTGGAGAGAGAAGGACAGATGTTGGAGATATTGAAGAGGAAGTGGCAGGATTTGGAAATAGCTTGGGTGTATGGGACAAAGGAAAGGGAGGAATTAAAAATGACCGAGATTGCAGACCTGAGTGACAGGGAGGAGGATGACATTATCAATAGTGATAGAAAAAGAGGGAAGAGGAAAAGGTTTGAGAAGAGATAAGGAGTTGGGTTTTGACCATGTTCTATTTAAGACATCCAGGAGGAGAGATGTTGGAGAGAGAAGATGAGAGTACAGATGGATAGGAGACTTAGTGCTGGAGAGAGATTTGTGAGCCATCAGCCCAGAGGCGACTGCTGAAGCCATGTGAACCGATTATTGCCCAAAAATAAGGTTTAAAGTCAGAAGATCAAAGGGCCAAGGACAGAGCCCTCTCACAGAGTGAGAGAAAGGAGGCAGATCCACTGAAGAAATAGTCAGAGAGGTAAGAGGAGACCCAGGAGAGGGCAGTATCTGGAAAGCCCAGTGTGAGATATGATATCAAAGAGAGGATGATCTATAATATTAAACACAGCAGGAAGATCAAAGGGGATGAAGGCAGAGTAGAGGCTGAGATTTGTGTAGGAAGAAATAATTGGAGACCCTAGAAAGAGAGGTTTCAGTAGAGTGGAAACACTGGAAGCCAGATGGAGGGGGTCCAAGACTGGATTGGAGGAGAAGTAACTGCATTGATAGTAGACTGTTCAAGGAGTTTAAAGGCATGAGCAATCTGGGGCTGTAGCTGGAGGCGTAGGTAGGACTGAGGGATGGTTTTTGGAGGACAGGGGAGACCAGGACATTGTTCATATTGTAAGGGAAGAGGTTGAGAAAGAAGGATAAGGGAAGAATGAGCAATAGAAGTAAGGAGACGGGAAGAGGAATGGGATCACTGGGGAAGATATGGGTGTTTATAGGAGAAAAGGCAAAAGACCTTAAAGCTGGTGACAGGAGAAAGGGAAGAGGAGGTGCAAGGGGGAGATTCCTGGTGGATTTTGTTCATTTTTCTTGTTTGTTTTTGTTTTTCTCTCTCTGAAAGTCTGCAAGATCCTGTGCAGAGAGATAGGAAGGGGAGAGATTTAAGGAGGGACTTGAATGGTGCCAAGAAGTGATGGGGACTGTGGGCATGGGACTCAATGTGGGAGAAGTGTAGTTGCTCCTTCAGATGATAGTTGAAGGAGAGGGAATCTGCAGTGGAGGAAGTTAGTGAGGTCCCAGGATGTTCAGCAGCACAAGGACAGTAATGGAGAGAGCAGATGCTGGGAGCAAGGCAGGTCTGAAATTGGTGTAATGGACTTCACTGTAGTAGAAAGGGGCATGGGTGGAGGAAAAAGCAGAGTGGAGAGTGGACAAGAGGGTTGGGAGGAGGGGCCTGATCTAGTAGAGAATTCACGAACGTTGATAGACTGGAGGTTGCAGAAGGCCCAGTGACAGGGCAGGGATGGGACAAATGTGTGGTGTGATGTTGAATGAGGGGAGAGGGTGATCAGAGAGAAGGAATTCAGATGGAGAGATCAAAGAAGAAAGGAGTGTTGGATGAAAATATATTGTGTTAGAGATTCCGAGGCAGGAGCTTCTGGGTCCGCTCTTACAGCAGCAGTCCCCAAACTTTTGAGGGTTGCACCCCCCCCATCTGATGAGAACACACATGCTACTGTTCTAATGTTTACAATTTGAGATAAATCTTGATTTTGGGGCAGTTCCGAGTACATAGACTGTACTTAAAAGTCCTTTCTACTATAACAGTTTGACTAACTGGATTCAGGATATATCCCCAACATTTTGTGGTAGCTGACAGTCTTGTTTGTAGTTTTCTAAGAACTGAACTAAAATGTCTTTTTTTTACGTTCCCATATGACAGCTGTTCAAGGGCCAAAGGCTTGATTACTTGCTATCTCCAGGGGAGGTTTTTAAATACTGACCTAGAAGTGAAAACAAACTCTATCCCATTGGTAGGGCCCTGGGTATTGGTAATTCATGGCCGTGAAAAACGCATCATGAAATCTGATCTCCCGCATGAAATCTTGCACAGGGCTGGGGACTCCTACCCTGCGCAGGGCTCCAGCTGCTAGTTCCAGCTGGGGATGGGGAGGGATGAGACTTCCTCTTCCCCTGCCCCCCCCTACAATAGCCTTATGACCCTCCCACCCTGACTGCCTTTGGGTCAGGACCCCTATGGTTACAAAACCATGAAATTTCAGATGTAAACATCTGAAAATGTGAAATTGACTAATTTTAAAATCAGCTGGCCATGAAATTAACCAAAATGGACCATGAATTTGATAGGGCCCTACCAATATCCAGATACTTTCTTGGCGAGTGAATTGCAACAGTTTAAGATGATTATGGACAACACTTGTACTGATAGTTAAAGCAGACATACCTCTTGGATGGTGTTTGTGATGTGGTTTGGACCCCTTCAGTCTAGGTGTTGCGAGTTAAAAGCTTGGGTTTCAGGAACAGCTGAATTGCTGCTAGAGTTAATATTTTTACCTTGTACGTGTTAGTCTTTTTTGAAAGATTTCATGTATTAATACAGTTCTGGCTTGGACACATTGAGGTTTAATGTAAGTTCCGAAATGATTTTTTTTCTTCTGTTTTAGGACACAAAGCACTGTTTAACTGTCAACCTTACCACCCTGCGTGTCTGGTGTTATACATGTAGCAAAGAGGTATTTTTGGATAGAAAATTGGGATCTCATTCTCCATTACCAAATGCCAGACTGTCTCACCAAACACAAGGAAATAGTGTACAGGTATGTTCTTTAAACAAGTGAAATACACACAGACCTTGTTTTAGCTGTGCTTTGTCTTATTTCCCAGTTGTGTCTTATCTGGTGTTGGAAATAATATGATTCTCTGTACTGTACTCTTCCCTTCTTATGTCTCTGAGGACTAATGCACCTTAACGCCCAACCTACATTAAATCTTTCTGTGTATCATTCTATTTGTTTCCCAAGAATGATGTTATGAGTATATTTTATTTAATCTTTTAAATCAACCAGAGAATATGAAATTACATTTGAGTTTTTAAGATGGGAATAATCATTTAGCTTTGCTTCCCATCCTGTGGTTAGTGAGAAGTTTTTAATTGTCACATTCAAATTATTACTGGCTACTGTATGCAGAAGAGTAAGTTGTTTTGGTGTCTGTTTATGGAGCCTCTAGCCAAAGAGAGGTTCAGATTCACATGGAGACACAAGTATTGTGTTTATCAGGAGAAACATGCAGGCAACTGTCAGTCTGTATTCATTCAGCCACTAATATAAAAAAATTTAAGAGGATTTACATGACCTTATATTTCTGGTATAGCTCAGTAAAACTTACTGGGTTTGCATCGTTATAAATTACTAACAAGGTATGTAATTTTTTTCTTATTAGAGATTTTTTTTTCCCATTGAGCAGTACATCCACAGTTGTTGTAGTAATTTTGGTCTCTTTAGCTATGATATATGCTTCCTCAGAGGGCAGGAGTAAATGATCTGTGTGTGTGTGTGTGTGTGTGTGTGTGTGTGTGTTTTAAAAGAAAAGTGAACAATAACTTAATCATGAAAGCATGCTGTCATCAAAGACACATTAAGGTACAATTAAGTCATCAGAGAGCTGATATTATTTGTAGTGCAGTTAGGATAGTTAAGCTTTTTCACGTTTACACATGGCCAGGATTTAGGAAACTTTATAATGAAAATGAAACTAGAAATTTAAATTTCTAAACTGCCATTTATTACATGATCATAACATAGAGGAACTTGACCATTGTTAACACATAATTTATAACAATTAACATTTGTAGCTGAAAGAGTAAAATATCTAGGGGGTAGCACACTTTGTAACTTGTTTAGGCAGAACTCATTGTGCACACCAGGGCTCCTTGCATCTCCCCTCTCCAGCTCCCTGTGTGCCACCTTCTAGCTCCCTCTATTTCAGTATCAGAGGGGTAGGCGTGTTAGTCTGGATCTGTAAAAAGCAACAAAGAGTCCTGTGGCACCTTATAGACTAACAGACGTATTGGAGCATAAGCTTTCGTGAGTGAATACCCACTTCGTCAGACGCAACGTTGCGTCTGATGAAGTGGGTATTCACCCACAAAAGCTTATGCTCCACTACATCTGTTAGTCTATAAGGTGCCACAGGACTCTTTGTTGCTCTATTTCAGTGATTCCCCAGTCTCTCCCCTGCCAGGGGTTTGATCTGTCCCCCATCTCCCCTTCTCCCATAGCAGAGTCCTCCATTCTTCCCTCATACCAGCGTCTCTATGTGCCACCCCCAGTCTTCCCTCCCCTCCCCTCCCCATCAGTGGTTCTTTGTGCTCCCTCATTGCCCTTCCTCTCATACCAGGGTCCCTTATTGTCCATCCGTGCCAGCATCTGTTTGCACCTCCCATTTCCTCCTACCCTCATTCCAGGAGTTCTGTGTGCCATCCATGCCCGGAACAATCTGTGTTCCCTCCTTCATACTCGGGCCCCACAATTTCTCCTCACCAGGAGTTGTGTGTCTTCCATCACTTCCTAACACACACACCACTGTCCCTCATTCCCCCTCCCCGCATCTGCCAGGGGCTAGACGGACACCCCCATTTTCCCCTTTCCTCTTCACCTCTCTTTCCCCCTCCCCCTCCGTTATTATTTCTCTGGGAGATAAGTCATTCATGATGTCAACATGTTAAACTCTATGGGGAAGAATGGGTAGAGAGGAGATGAGGTATTCTGAGGCTGGAAGGTGTTAATGGGTGCCCTCAAAGAGTTGTTTGATCTATAGATAATTGCAGAGGTCCTTGAAGCTCTGGCTGTGCTAGCAGATGTCATGGGCTACATGTGTTCCCCATTTTCCTCCTTTCTGATTTTCACCAAAATTATTAGGGTTCTGGCCATTGATGCCAAGAATATTTTGGAATTGATCAGATGTTGCATTCTAAAGCAATCACATTACAGAGAAATGCCATCAAGTTGAGGGTATAACCTCATAAGCTCTTCCAATTAATGAAAAAGAAATAGCTGAATTGGGACAAATAAAGAAAGCAGGGGGAAAAAACAGGTATTTAAAGATTCTATGTACAAGCTAAAACTATGCCATTAAAATAAACTATGCTGTATATTTTAAAAGTAAATTGAAAATACCTTCCTTGGAGAAGGTACTGACTTGCACATCCAGCACATACCTATTTCTCTCACTGAAATCAGTGAGAGTTGGGGATTCTCAGCCCTTTGCAGGACTGGACCTTTTGAACAGTGCTGTGCACATTGGAACACTAAATAATTAATATTTAGACATACCGCATTTTCCTTGAGAAGCTACATCAGAATTTCCCTGTAGTCAACAGATGAGTGATTTTAATGTGAAGAATGTTGGATAGACACTATTTATTTATATGCTTAACTACTTGTTAAATGACAGCTGAAGTTCAAATACAAGAGTAAAAAATAAGTGTGTAAAGAGTAAAGTGAATAAAAGCACAATATTTTGTGGGGTTTTTTTCCTGGGGGAGAACATAGTACAGTAAACCCAAGAATTACAAGAAATTGATTTAAAGAAAATTATACCAGAAAATATATCGGGTATTCTTTTAACAACATATGTTGGAATCTACTAAGTGGTTGGAATCCAAGAAGATATTGGCAAAATGTATACAATACAATATTATTAGGGAAGTCACAGAAGTTCTAGGGGAAAAATACTGCTGAAGAAATGATTGAAAAATATTTGTATAACTTTAGCATGTTTTCAATTTTAATATTAGTAGATTTGAAATAGGACATAATTTTTTTCTCTTAAAACACCAACCACAGAATTCTAATTGTATAGTGTTTCAGCTAAATATATTGGATTTTCTGATGTTATTCACGTGTGCTCCTGAAATATATGATGTCTTGACTTAAACATAATGCTTGGCATGATTGCAGAATTCAGATTTGAAATGCATCCAATACCCAATTGTTTTTCTACCCTCAAGGAAGTTGCAGTGTATATGACATTGCATAAGGAGAAATTAGCATGATTTGTGACATTTGTCTTGCTTTTTAGCTTAAAATTTTGCTTAGGATTTCCTCCCCTTATGTGCTCACAGAAAAATGACATAAAATACAATAACAATTTGCCTATCTCATACTGCATCTCTGTTAGGGTTGCCAACTTTCTAATCCCACAAAACCGAACACTCTAGCTCCGCCCCTTCCCTGAGGCCCTGCCCCCCGCTCACTACATTCTCTCCCTCCCCCTTCCCCCCATTGTGGCTTGCTTTCCCCTACCCTCACTCACTTTCACTGGGCTGAGGCAGAGGGTTAGGGTGCGGGAGGGGGTGAGGGCTCTAACTGGGGGTGCGGGCTCCTGGGTGGGGCCAGAAATGAGGGGTTCAGAGTAAGGGCTCCGCCTGGGGGTGCAGGCTCTGGGGTGGGGCTGGGGATGAGGGGTTTGGGGTGCAGGAGGGGGCTCCAGGTTGGGGGGGGGGCTCGGGGCTGGGGCAGGGGGTGGGGGCTCGGGGTTGGGGTACAGGCTCTACCTCCGGCGGTGCCCAGTCAGCAGCACAGCAGGGGGGCTAAGGCAGGCTTCCTGTCTGTCCTAGCACTGTGGACCCGCACTGCGCCCCGGAAGCAGATCCGGCTCTTAGGCAGAGGTGCGGCAGGAGGCTCTGGGCGCTGCTCTCACCCACAGGCACCGCTTCCGCAACTCCCATTGGCCTTGGTTCCTGGCCAATGGGAGTGCGGAGCCGGTACTCGGGGTGGGGGCAGCGCGCAGAGCCCTGTGGTCTCCCCATTTAGGAGCTGGACCTCCTGGCTGCTTCCGGAACGCAGCACGGAGCCAGGACAGGTAGGGACTAGCCTGCCTTAGCTCCGCAGCACCGCTAACCAGGCTTTTAACGCCCGGTCGGCGGTACTGTAACCATGGGGGTCCCGACCCAAAAGGCGGTCAGGGTGCTGACCGGAGCCGCCAGGATCCCTTTTCAACACCTTCTGTCTCTCTTGATTAAATGCAGTGGGCCATCTGATGGCAAATTTTTGTGCTGACTTTCACATAATCCTTTATAAACGTTGTGTTATAATCCATTGTTATGTGGTGAATTGCAAAGCAGGCTTGCTGTTCCTGAAGCAGTGGCAGGAAATCTTACAGTGTTTGGCATTGTATTTTGACTGATTTATTTTCTCAGCGTTTTCCAGAAACTGGTGCAGTGCTGTATTCTTACCATAAGTACCTGCTTGAATTAGTAAGCTTTCATAGCATAGCTGCAAACTACTTTTGCTTTACATAAAATGAAACATGCATTTAGAAGGCAGTTATTTTGAATGAACTCCTATGTTTAGTTCATAGGCATATGTTAGTAAAACCGTACTAACACTTAAAGAAAAAATGGATTTATAAACATAATCACACTTATATTTTGCCTTTTCTTCCAATAAGGATTTTAAAATACCTGGTAATCCAACACTGAAGATTCCTCTAGTTACTGTATTTGATGCTTTAGATATAGAGGTGGAAGAAGATGAACTGAAGACAAGAGGTAATGAAACTGGAGGATTAAAACCTACACTGTCAACTAATTGCTCTGTCCATGCCCTCACTTAAATAATTCCACCATGTACAGTATGTGTATTTCTTTGAATCCGTTCCCAGCTGTTTAGAAATTACTTCTTTTCCAGCTGGAACTATTTCCCCCCACTCTAAAATAAGAGCTGCATTTTCAGTTTGAAGCTTAACTGCAGCATCCTTTCCTTTTCTTCAGAGAAGAGGCTCTCATGTTGTTATTTGTAGTACATCAGTCACTGATAAAGAAAGCAGTTGTGATGTTTAGTGTAGTTGCTAGTTTTCATTAGACTGAACTATGTGTCATAGCTGCACTGGTAACTGGGTAGTTATTGCAAAATTTGTTTTAACATTTTTGCTTTTATTTTAAAAGATGCTTTATATGAATGCTTTCTGAATACTGGTTAACATTTTGGGTCTGCAGTTCCCAGCACTCTTTTTTTTGGTTAGTAATGGATTTCATGCTCTGACAAATGCTATCAGTGCAAAAGTTAACCTAAGCCTGGTATTTATATAATGGAAAAGGGGAAAATGTAAGGGGAAAGTACAATGAAACTCCCAAAACTGAGAAGGTTTTATTTGTCGTTTATTTGTCCCCCATGTGGCATCTCTTTGAAGTCTCCAATATGGATCACTTTTATAATGAATAATTTTTGTTTACTACTTCCTTCACTTTATCTGCTGGTTATATTTTACTGAGCTGCTTTGTTGAGACACCAGTGAACATGTCAAGGCAATTCCTTCTCCTATCAATGATGGGGAGATGTTTCTATCTCATGGACCTTGTTTCTCTTTCCTTCTCTGTTCTCCCTTGACTCAGCTAGCACCAGCTTTTTGCCAGTTCAGCCTCCCTGTTGGCCCAAAGCCTTTTCCTCTGCCACTCTTGCCATCTGTCATAGCCTTCCTGTGTGCCTCCACCTCACTGATTGACCATCTGTTCTTAGATCTTTGAAAAAAATTGTTTTTTATCACCTGTCAATGCCTTAGTTTCTCTCTTCCTGCTTTTATTTGTATTTAACCCTATGATATGTTCTGGGGATACACTTTTTATATGAAAGTTGCTGTACGGATAAAGTTTTATTCTAATTCCCATTAGCACTAATAGAGTTATGTGTTTATGCTTCAAGAAAGAATAAGCTCTCACAAGTCAAATTTATCTTAATGTTTTATTTAAAAACAAATGTTAAATATTTCTGACAAGGCATATATTGGAGAGCAGGATGAAGCAATGCTAAATGTAACTGCAGTGAATAGTTCAGTTACTATTTTACCAATAAATTGTTAAAAACTTTGCTAAATAAATGTGTATTGAATAAAAGCCCAATCCTTTAAATGATTACACAGTTACTTAACTTTATGCTTGTGAACAATCACACTGAAGTTAATCATGTGTAAGTGTCTGCAGAATCAGGCAGCGCCTATGAAATTATATATAATACACACACTGTAGTTGAAAAAAACTTTTTGAAATACCCTATTGTATTTCAATATGTCCTTAGCTGTGACTGGTATTCCTTCTGCCTCTAA